TGCTGGTGACTTGATCAGAGAAATCAGAAGGTTTTCACTGCTCTTGTGGCATCGGAACTGTCCAGATAATTGAGCAGCCCTTTCTTCTTGAACTTCAGGTCTGAGACCTCCTTGCCCTTCCAGAGCGATATTGGAAAACATTTCCTGAGGCCTTTTCCAAGTGCAGTTGATTGTATTAGTTTTGCTACCCAACCTCTTTTACTGAAATTCATCTCAGTGTAATTGATCATTTTCTTTCCTTCCCAGCCAGGACCCATTTGAAGAAAACACACCCAGCGGCTAGGCGGTTAGGCAGCAGTGACTAAGGGAAAAAACAGGCAGTGCCGCCTCAGCTCCGTGAGAGCTGCCAGGAGGGAGGGCCCTTCGCGGGGTGGGGGGCGGATCACAGATCTCCTCCAAATCAGTTAGGGCCAGGAAAGAGGAAGGGGTTCTGCGATGCCGGCCTGCCATCCGCCCCCCACTTTAAGCACCATGGCCTCCTCTCTTGCCTTAAGAAACTCAAAGAAGGTGAATGGTTAAGGCTACACGTATTGAACCATTTTAAAATGTTTGCCCAAACTGATTAAATAGTTGTCATATCTAAAGTGATTTTTGTTGATGGAGGAGACAAATATATTTTAAACTAGTTAGTTTAGCATTTCCCAGACTTCATTCGTGTGCCATCTCCACCATTCTTGCCGTATTTTCAAGTCACTTATCCTGCAGGGGGTGGGGTAGGGGGAGCAGTATGTCCCAGGGGCAGGTGATAAAGGGGTCTATGGAGAATTTAAAAGCAATCGCAAAACAACTGCTTTTGTTATGAGCTGAATTGTGTCCCCCTCAGAATTCATATGTGAAAGTCCTAACCACCAGCACCTCAGCCCGTGACCGTATTTAGAGATCAGACCCTTAGAGAGATGATTAAGTTAGAATGAGTTCATTAGGGTGTGCCCTAATCCAATCCAGCTGGTGTCCTTATAAGAGGAGATTAGGACACAGAGAACGTTCAGCACGGAGGGACGACCACGTGAGGACACAGAAAGAAGATGGCCATCTACAAGCCACAGAGAGAGGCTGCAGGAGAAACCAACCCTACAGACGCCTTGATCTTGGACTTCTAGCCTCCAGAATTCTGAGACAATAAATTTCTGTTGTTTAAGCCACCCAGCCTGCAGTACTTATGGCAGCCCTAGCAAAACAAAACAAAAGGATTATAATATAATACAGCTTGGTGTTCTCACCAAGTGCTGGCAATTCTAAACTAGTCCTTCTTAAGAGTCCATACTACAGATTGTTCCTGAACTGTTAATACGATTTGCTTATTATTTTTCTTTCAATTGACTCACTATTTTCCTTGTCCATACCCTAAGCAGTATACAGTGAACTCAAGGGTTTTGTGTGCTAGTTTTAATATTTCTTCCTAGTATACATGGCAGTACACACACGCTAAAAAGCGAGGAAGCTGTCAAAGGCCACTAGAGCTGAGTCCGAAGGATATCGGAACCAACCTGGAGGGCCTCATAAGGCCAAAGGCCAGGAAAACTTGAACATCAAACATTAAAATGACAGCAAGGGTTACGTCATACCAAACACTGTCTTTATACATGTGTGAGTTTATAATGACACCGACAGAGAAAAAGCCTTCATTGTCACCGTTAGAGGCTGTCAGGGTCTCAACTCATTTTCCTGAAAACTGATAAACGAAAGGGCCAGACATTTGTTCTGGCCTTTTCTGTCTGAACCACTCGTTGATAAGTGAAACTTCTTTGTAGAAGCATTCCAGCTCACAAATGCAAAAGGAGTCTAAGAGGAAATGATCACCGTGCGGCTGCTAATGAAACGACGCATCCGGGCAAGGTTCAGCGACGACTGCTCACGTAATCGGGAGGAGGACTGATGGGAGACTTCATAGCGGCTGCATCAGGCTGACCCCATCTGAACCCACTGATCCGTTTAAGATGACAAGAGGAGAGGTGAGCAGACATGACGTGCCCTCCGGCGTGACGCAATGGAAGGACGTCACACACCTCAAAGTAACTATCGAACGTGGATCCAATCAAGCCTTGGGCTCCATTAGCATTTTACCGGAAATACTGGGGACAGCAGAACACGCTAAATGACACTGCGAGGACACAATCGGCCACATCCAGGATGTGAGAAACCACCAGACAAAGGACTTGATTTCTTTGAAAAACTAATGGGCTTGGGGAAAAACAAGGAAGGGCAACTATTACGGATCAAAAGAGACAAATGATCCAAGGATAAACATCTGAACGTGATTTGGATTTGAACAACCCACTGTCAAACATATTTCTGAGACAAGTGGGGAAAACTGAATACAGACTGGGTATTAAATGTAGTCATTATAATAATTTAGACATAAAAGTAGTATTGGGATTATGCTTAAAAAAAGTCCTCATCTGTCAGAGATCCACACTGAAATATCTGTGGGTGAAATAAAATGATATTTGTCATGTAAGATACTCACAACTAAAAACACAAAGAGAAAACAGTGTGAAAGAAGGCAGGCAGGAAGGAGGAAAAAGAAAAAAGGGCTTGATGTTTAATGAAGATAAAACAACATGAGCCGTTTCCTCCCATGCGCTTTTGTTCCGTTTTGTTTTTACCAGGTCGGGCATGCTCTCCAGAACGCTCAGGATCTGGGGATCGCTCAGCTTGTTGTGGGAAAGGTCAAGGACACAGAGGCTCAGGCACTCCTTCAGATGCTGGATGTCGCCCACCGTCTCCAGGTGATTGTGGGCCATCTGCAGCGTGTTCAGCACGGGGAGGCAGGCTGGAAGGGGGGGTCAGCAGAAGTAAACAACAAAGGCATAAAAATGCTTTTCACCCATGAAATAAAATTTCAGAACCTCCCCCGGGGAAAGCGATGCACAGAGGGCGTATAGAAAGACTGCATGTTGCACACTCTTACAGAGGTTTTCAATGGTCTTGATGTAATTGTTGCTGAGGTTAAGGGCATCCAGTTTCTGCAGAGGTTCCAGGTTCTCAATCTTATGAAGCAAGTTCACTTGCAAGAAGAGGCACCGCAGTTCGGTCTGGGCCTCCAGGTTCTCAATCTTCTGTATCCCATTGCACTCCAACCACAGACAGCGCAGCCCCGTGTACTCCTCCAAGTTCTCGATGCGATCGAAGCCTGGTGAGAAGGAAGGGGGTGTCGGTTAAGCTCCTATACACATAGGGGGCAGGGGGTCATGGCCACCCTTGGTTTTGCCTACTGTTAGGGGCCGGATGTCTATGTCCTTTCAAAATTCATGTGTTGAAACTGTGAACTAAAATAAAGTCGTAAGTCCCCTCCCAGCTGACGGAATGGACCCCTCTTGGCCAAGGGGACCCCAGAAAAACCTTAAAGCTGAGCTGCTGGCCATGTGGACCGGGGAGCTCAGACACACCTTGTCACGCCCCCTCCCTTCTGGAGCTGCTCTTTGTAACAATAAGATACTGGATCGTTAACAGGCCTAGGCCATGCAAGACAAAGCTTACACCACGTCTGCAGACCATCAATTCACTTAACACATCACTTGAGTCCAGTATATGTCCATATGTGTCTGGGGCTTGTCTCTGATTAACAGACATCCTCAAGTTAAAACATTCCGAGCCTTTAGACAAAGTTTCATTTTTTAAACAATTATAAACCAAAGAATCTTTAAACCCACCTATAATCTATAAGCTCCCCCGACCCCTTTGAGATGTTAGTCATTACTCATTTATTTATTGTCTCTCCAGGAGCTTTGGAGAGGAACTGGCCATCTCCAGCTCACTCCTTCCCTCTCGATCCTTCCATCACCATCCGTGGCTAAGTCTCCCGTAACATCCTGGTTGTGAAAGGCCTTTGCCAGTTCCCGACCACCCCGAGGTGTCTGCCCCCGCGGGCCCTGCCCTCGTGTTCTGAGCCTTCTGCTGAGGCCCTCGGGATCACACAGGCTGGTGTGTGTCACCATCTCCCGGTATTCATGCTGCTGTGTTAATGACGCAGGAAGACGGGGCCGCTCCCGAGACCAACAGAATCCAGCGGTGCGGTGACGCGTCCCTTCCACGACCGGGCGTCTGTCTCGGCCTCACTCTCTTTCCTGGCTAACTCGCTCTGGGGAAGCCAGGTGCCATGGGGAGGCTCTCGTGGTGAGGAACGGAGACCTCTGGCCGACGGCCAGTGAGGGTCTGAGGCCTAGAGCCCGTGTGTGGATTCTCCACCCCTGGAAAGGCTTTAGATAATTCAGGCCTGGCTGACAGTCTGACTCCAGCCTCGTGAGAGACCCTGAGCCACGGCTGCCCAGCTAATCACTCCTGGGGGCCTGGCCCTCAGAAGCTGTGAGATAATGCTTGTGCTTCGAGGTGCTAAGTTTTAGGGTAATTTGTGATGTAGCGATAGGCACCTCTCTCTCCTAGTCCTTCTACCTCTCTGACTCTTTCTAGAGCAAGCATCTTTCTGGACAACTTTGGAGGGGGAGGAGGTGGAGGCAAGGACACCAATGAGGAGTTGTTCCAAGCCCTGCAGGTCTCTGAGCCGCAGGCGCCCTGTGCGTGTCTCCCTGGCATAGCACCGTCCTCATAGTGGCTGCTCCCATCCCCCAGGAAACCAAGGGCATCTTGACCACGTCCCTTTCTGCATTTCCTGTGCTGAGCACGGCGCCGAGCACACAGAAGGCTCTCAGGAAGTATTTTCTGAATAAACGAATGCACACTAAAATAATTGATAAAGCAAGTAGGCCCTCCCCAACTCAGCACAGACTGGGAGCTCTCACCTCTCTTTACCATTGCTAGCAATAGCCCTGCCTGTGAACCTGAACTTAAATCTACGTGTGATCCTGGACCCCAGTCCTGAGCCCTGTTCACACCTCTCCATTCTGAAGGGCCCCCAAAGATCCTCATCCTTTGTTTTCTGTGCCTGCCTTCAATCCTCACAGCATACCCCTCCCACGCCCAGAGCACTTACAAATCAGCTTTCTGGTTTGAAAAATTAAAAGTCCTTAGAAAATATAAATAAAAGATACTGATGTGCTTCCTAAGTATTCCTATAGCCAGTGTCCCCTTTATGAACTCTACTCAAGCAAGACTTTTTCTTGAAAGAAACATTATTGCTTTTTCCGTAAGTCTCCACTGAACTCTGAAATTTCTAATTAAGTATATTCTGAGAACTACAGATGATCTCTGAAAGTCATGTTTTGTACCACTAGATATGCAGAGCCTTTCTGCTTGACGCGAGGCATCTCCCCTACCAGGTCCCTACCTTTATAGTGCAGATACAGCGTATCATTCAACGCCGGGGTCACATACAGCTTGTGCTGCTTGCAGAGTTTTTGCAGAACATTTTTAGTCATTCTGTTCAAATGGAAAATATGAACAAGAAATTTATTTCAGTTTGTCAGCTGTAAAATGCATCCCGAAAGTTCTTCACCACATCCATTCCTGCCCCAAGTTCTACAACATCCTGTAAGCCCGGTACCTATTTTAAGTTCTTCTTCTTTTTTTTTTTGGTATAGATTTCAGGGCCTCATCTGACGTCATTACTTTCAGCATTGTCAAAAATTGCACTGTATGTTCTAATAAAAATACTTTTAATAGCGTCATCAGGAACTACTGCTGTTCCTCTCTCCAGGCCTGGCATTAAAGTTTAATAGCGTGTGGTTAGTTGTGCCACAGAGGGAGTGCCATCCTGACTTCACTACTTAATGATTCACAGACATTGGGCAGGCTCTTCAATCTCCATGAGCCTCAGTTTCCTTATCTGTACAAGGGGGTGATCATACCATTTACATGATTCCATAAATGTGCACTAATTGGCAGCATGCCCACGTACCTGGTGCCCCGCTCTTCCCTGTCGTCTCTTGGGTGTGCTAAGTGACCATCTGATCCACTATCTCCACTCTGTTCCTTCTGGCTTTGGTAGGAGGTGTCAGAAGGACCCACACACATTTCCTTAGGATCATTAATTTCTGCAAAATAAAAGACGTTGGGCCAATAGAGATCAAGAAATGTATAAACAAATTCTCCCAATTTCAACTTGGTTAATAACCATCCACTTTTAGTATGGAATTCCAGCACTCTTTAAATGTATAGCATTTTTTTAAAGCATTAGCTAAGACTATGTAAATTTCACTTCTAGGTAGAGTCTCCATAAAAAGTCTACAGGTATGCAAGGAAATGTGTGAAGTGTTACAATGTTTCTGCAGTGGTTATAAAAGTCGAAAACTGTTAACAGTGCAAATATGCATCCGTAGGGACTGGTTACATAAAACAAAGGATTTACTCTTCTACCTTTGAAAAGAATGCACGAGAACTACCTCTATCGATATGGATTATTCTCAGAAACATACATGAAGGGAAAAAAGCAAGGTTCATAATAGGCACAGGATACCATTTATATAAATTAAAGACATGCTATGCATTATTTAAGGGCACATATGTATAGAGAAGTGATTGGAAGAATCCATACAAAATTCTGAATAAGGGAGGAAAGGAATGAGATTAAAAATGGGGGGAGGGACAAAAGGAACACCAAATTTATGTGAAATTTATTTATTTCTTTAATTTAAAAAGATTGCAAGTAAATATAATAAAATGCTAATAATTTTCTATTCTTGGTGGCAATACGTAGGTGTTTATTATAATGTTCTCTGTGCTTTTGTCTTTAAAAAATTCTCAAAAGAAAAAAACCACATGAAAAGAAACAGAAATAGTGGGAGTATCTTTGATAAAAAGAAAATGAGCACATTCAAATCCACTCAATTTTTTTTAAACGTCAGTCAAAATTGGCCAATTTGAATGCACTTAATTTTAAGGGCTATTGGCTGCCTTCCTGTGTGTGTGTTCTGAACAAGACTACTGAACAAGACTCAATGCTCCGTGTGTGGGGACTGTGTCTTAAACTCATCAAGTTCTCACTGCATCCAATGCTCAGACACAAGAGGCACCAGATAAATGTTTGTGGAATAAATAAAGAATAGGTGCTCAACATATACAATTGATTTTATTAATAAAAGGCACTACCATTTATTAATGGCCCACTATATGCTGTGAACTTGTATTTTGAACTATCTCTGTATATCCCTGTATAATTATCCCTGCTTACAGATGAGGAGACTAAAGCTCAGAGAGGTTAAACTCTGGGCCAACAGCCATGAAGCCTTTATGGTGAGGTACAGTCTGAACCCGATGTGGGTGGCTCCAAGGCCAGTGTCTTTCAACTGGGCAATACCAACTTCCTACAGCTCCTCACGTAGGGTTTGCCTGGGCAGCTGAAGCTCAAGATATATTTGCTGACTGGGTTCAAAACATGACACACAAAACTGGTTTTTTTATCTAATCCTTACAAGGTTTCCTTTAGGGCCCCAACCCTAGTGGCAGCAGAGGCTGAAGAGGATCTTTTGAGTCCATTCCCAGATAGTTCGGTGAGGGGGGGTGGTCACACACCGGCCCCAGAGCCACTACTCTCCATTTAGTCTCTCTACATATGTCAGGCACTGGACTAGACGCCTTGAATTCAGCCAGGATGTCCTGCCGTGACATAGCATGCAGCCTCGATGGGGAGAAAGCCTTGCTCTTGCACAGTGATGGCAATAAACTGATACATTCAAAGCATCCAAGTTCGGAGTGGGGAGAATGGTGCGTTGGACAAGGGCCTGGGCTCCGGAGTCAGACTCCCCAGGCCTGAGTCACTGTTCTGTCACCGACCAGCGGGAGGTAATCTGTTTGGAGCAAGTTTTACAGCCTTTTAAATGTCTGCTTGCTCATGTGCATGGAGGCTGGAGAGGAGCGCCGACTGCGGAGCGCTTAGGAAGTGCTGGCTGTTACTGTTATTGTTATTGTTATCGTCTGGCCATGAAGACCGGGCAGTGGTGCTGGGAGGAGGTTGGAGCGTCCAGCTGGGTCTTCCCGTCGCCCCCCCCCCGCACCCCGGGCGGCGCCTGGCACCTTCCTTGCGGCCCCCCTGGTCCGCGTTCCCGTGGTCACCCGCGGACTCCTCCACGCCGGGCTCATGCTCGCAGCCCAGCTGCGCCGCCGGGTCCGCCGCGGGCTCCGCGGGCTCGGGGTGCATGTTGATTGCTGCAACGCCGACCACCCCGCAGCAGCGGGGAGCCCCGTTCCGCGGTGGCTACGGCCCCCAGCCCCGCTAGACAGGCCCCGCTTTCTCTCGTCGCCCGGCCACTGGCGCCCCGGCCTTTGGCAGCCGGACGCTTTCCTAGTCGCCACGGCAACCGCCGCGCACGCGCACTCGGGGCGGGCCAACGGGCCGGGGACGCCGGGGGCGGGCCCTGCAACGGCTCCGCCCCCTGCGCGTGCGCGGGTCACGTGGGGGTGCGGCTGGCTGCAGCTGCGGCGGTGGAGACGGGGGCGGTGGCCGCGCGGGTCCGGCGGGACCGGCTTTGGAGAGTGCGCTGCCCTGAAGGTACCGCGCCCCCGTACCCTCGCCCACCACCCCCGGCGGCCCTTCCGCCCCAGCCCCCGCCTCGTGCCCCTCAGCCCCCGCGGCTGCTCGGCTCGACTCTGCCGGCCTCTGTGCCCCCACCACGCCCCCCGGGCCTCTCCGCGCGCTCGGCCCAGCGGTCCCTCGGCACCCGGACCCCCGGAAGTCTTCGTCCCTCACATCCCTCCTTTCAGTCCAAGCACCCCCAGCCGCGTCCCCGCGAATCTCAGAGCCCCCCACTCCCCAGACTCCATCCGCGCGCCCCCCACCGCAACGCTGCGCCCCCCGGAGCTTTCCCTCCCTGTAGCCCTCGCCCCCCGACCCCAGGCCCGCGGATCCGGCGGCCCCACCCACCCGGCGCGTGGCCCCTCTCTTCCCGCGGTTCCTAACCGGGCTCCTCCCCAGAGGCTTTTGCAATCAACCGTCTTTATTCTCCTTTCTAAACGATTTGGTGCGAGTAGGATTTCGCCGTTGCCGTCTTTCTCTAAAGTAGAAATAATTGAGAATAACAGCTCGCAGAGAAAGGGCACGCCGATGCCTGGTGCGGCGGTCGTGGTTCCGCCAGGGTTGCCGAGTTTGCTCGCGTTTGCTGGGCCCTGCCGGGGGCTGGAGGGGAGGCGTTGTGAAGATGAATGAGGCATGTCCCAGTTCTAAAGGAACGTGCCCCACAGACCAGAACACGACAGCGCCTCTTGGCGATTATAGCAGGGTGTGTGCAAATTACTGTGAGGCCTTCTGGGGGGTCTCACAATGGGGTCTCCATCCAGGGCTCTGTGCTTTGATAGACCTTGATCTGAATTCCAGCCCAGCCTCTTCTTAGCTGAGGGGGGTCCTGGGTCTGCTATTTGACTTCTGTAAGCCTCAATTTCCCCATCCGTAAACTGGGGATAGTTGTAATCTACCTCATAACGTTGATGAGAGAATAAAGTGAGACCATAGGAATAAAGCACTTAGAGTCTTTTGCCTAAAGTGAGCTCTCAGTTTTAACCCTGGTGGCTACAAGTAGCCAATAGCTATTAAAACATCAAACGCAGAACACCCTGAATGTGCGTGGCTAATAGCTAAGGTCTGTCGAGCACTTAGGAACAGACACTGCTCTAAGTGCTTTATATGGATTACCTCATTTGATTCGCATCGTAATCTTAGGCAGGAACAATTATCTCCATTTTCACCGATGATTTGAGGAAATGTACAGAGGCGAAGTAACTTCACCTGGGACACACAGCCTGGATTCCAACCCAGGCAGTCTGTTTTCAGTCTGTGGTTTTATTCGTTGCAGGAATATTCCCAGGGCCTAAAGTGCAACAAATTGGTGGTACTTTTTTTAGTAGGTTTTTAAAAACTGAGATAAAATTGACGATTTTAGCCATTTTACAGGGTACAACTCAGTAGTTTTTACTATATTCACAATGTTTTGCAACCATCACCGTAACTAATTCCAGAACATTTCCATCACACGCGAAAGAAACCGGGGCCCCTTTAGCAGGCACTCTCACCCCTCCCCCAGCTTCTGTTTCTATGGATTTGCCTGTTCTGAACACCTCATACCAATGGAATAATATAATATGTGGGCTTTTGTGTTTGCTTTCTGTTCCTTAGCAGAACATTTTCAAGGTTCTTCTGTGTTGTAGCGTGTATCAGTACTTCATTCCTTTTTATGGCTGAATGATATTCCATTGTATGGAGAGACCACATTTGTTTATTCATTCATTCATGGTGGACATTTGGTTGTTTCTACCTTCTGGTTATTGTGAATAAGGTTGCTATGAACATGCATATACAAGTTTTTATGCGAGCAAAAGCTTTCCGTTATCTTGGGAGGGGTGCCGTGATTATTATTTGAATTCCTATCGCACAAATGCAGACATGAAACTGAGGAGTGCTGGACCTCGGTTTCCAATTCCCACATTGCTGCCGTTTCCACTCAATCCCCCTGATGGTTTAGTCCTATACCAAAAATTGGCAATGGAAGATAAGGAAATTCCAAAATGTCGTGATACACCAATAATAACTTTGTCAAAGTGCTGACACAAAGTATGAGAAGCTTCTTAAATTTTTTTCTCCTCAGGTGAAATTTGAGCTTTGAACACAAAGCAGTATTGGATTCTATTTCTTAAATAAGTATGGTATACATAGCAGCATGCCAAGTGTTGTGGAGGAATATTAAACATGTATGAGATTCCAACCTCATACTACCACAAAGCTCCATGATGATTAAAGACTTAAATCTGAAAAGCAAAACTGTAAAATCTTTTTTTTTTTTTTTTTTTTTTTTGAGACAGAGTCTCACTCTCTTGCCTGGGCTAGAGTGCCGTGGTGTTAGTCTAGCTCACAGCAACCTCAAATTCCTGGGCTCAAGTGATCCTCCTGCCTCAGCCTCTCAGGTAGCTGGGATTATAGACATGTGCCACCATGCCCAGCTAATTTTTTCTATTTTTAGTTGTTTGGCCAATTTCTTTCTATTTTTAGTAGAGACGGGGGTCTCGCTCTTGCTCAGGCTGGTCTCGAACTCCTGAGCTCAAGTAATCCTCCCACCTCTGCCTCCCAGAGTGCTAGGATTATAGGCGGGAGCCACTGCACCCGGCCAGAACTGTAAAATCTTTGAAAATAACGTGGGGAAATATCTTCATGACCTGGACTAAGGAGGGATTTCTGAAATAAAACATAATGAACACAAACCATAAAGGAGAAAGATTAATACATTTGTCTACATGAAAATTAAGACATTCAGTTCATCAAAGGCACTATAAAGAGACACAAAACATACACAGAGCTAATATCTAGGATATGTAAAGAATTCTTATAATTCTGAGTGAAAAAGAAAAAAGGGCAAAAGATAGGACTAGGCATTTCATAGTTTAGAAAACAAACAGCACATAAACATCAAAAGAATTTCAGCCTTAGTAGTAATTAGGGAAATGTAAATGAGAACCATAAGCAATACCATTCCACAGCTGCCTTCAGGCAGGTGACTGTCACACATTACCAGCCAGTGACATTGACCTGGGGGCTGTGTAGTTGGTTCTGCTGCTTTGGAGAGGCATTTGGCAGTGTCTGGATGAATGCTTGTGTCTAGCAGTTCAACCACAAGGCACGTCCCTGCGGGAACTCGTGCACAGGTGTTCAGGAGATGAGGACAGGGATGTTCATCACAGTGCTGTTCGTAACTGTAAAGTAAAAACCAACAGAAACAAGCCCCATGCCTGTGAGCCACAGAACGGATACATGAGTCGTGGTGTGTTTGTACCGTGAGATGCTGTACGCTGTGGAAGAGTATGAACTACAGCTGCAGGGTCAGGGATGTGTCTCAGGAACAATGTTGAATGAAAGAAACAAGTTCACCAGAGAATACACACTGTATGGTTCCTGTATATAAAGTTCAAAACCAGGCCAAACTGAACAGCACTGTTACTGTTTCAGAATATAGCTGACCTTGAACAACACAGGTTGGAACAGCATGGGTCCTCCTGTACGTGGATCGAAAATACGGTGTTCTTGGGATGCAAAACCCACATATACAGGTTTTGTATAAGTGAGTTCCACAGGGTGGGTGTACACAGGGCATTCTGGAACCAGTGTCCCGGAGGGATGACTGTACGTGCCTATGTTGTACAGCTGTTAAAAAAAAGATGCCAGGGATTGATGACCTCAGAGTTGAAGAGAGTGGCCACCTCCAGGGTTAGGAAGGGGACATGATCAGGGAAGTGGCACATGGGGCTTCGGAGACACTGGTTTTGTTGACAGGCTGGTGGCTGTTTTGTTCTATTATTCATTGAACTGTGCATAATAAATATTACATACTTTTGTATATATTTTTCAAGTGTTTTTAAGTTACAGAAAAATTAGTTTTAGATACATTTCCTGTCCTCAAGAGGCGAATGCTGTCTTTGGAGAACCAAGATATAAACAAGCTAAATGTTTACTAGAATGCAGAGCAACGTGTAAGTGGCACTTGGGTGAGAGAGCAGAGTCAGCGCCCCGGCCTGGGCAGGGAAAGAAGTTTACCCCAGGGCTGACCTGCCGTGGTGCTTGGCGGTAAGTCATGCTGATGTTGAACCGAGGAGAAGGGAGGGACTTTGGCAGGTCTTGGAAGGACGGGTAGGATTTGGAGTGCTCAGTGCAAAAAGTAAGATTCCTGTGAAAAAATTGTTTCCAGTGAAAACGTCCATAGCCCTGGAGCCTCTGAGAAGCTGGACGATTCCAGCCATTGATGAAGACTGTGAGGGGACCTCGGGTCCACCCCATTTAGTCCAGGGTGTTGCGGGATTCTCAGCTCATCTGCGTATTGTCCTTACAGCTAGACTGACTGTCCACCAGCCCTTTATCCACCTGTTCATCTTTATTCCCTGTGGCTGCTGTAGCAAATTATTAAATACCAAACGTAGTGGCTTAAGACAGCACACGCTTATTGTCTTAGTTCCGGAGATCAGAGGCTAAAATCGTTTTCACTGGGCTAAAATCAGGGTGTCAGCAGCGCTGCCTTCCTCCTAGGGGCAGTCGTTTGCCTTGCCTTCGCCAGCTTCTGGAGGATGCTCCAGTCCTGGGCTGGCAACCTCTCTCCATGTTCAATTCCAGCATCCACATAGTCCCTTCAAACTGCTCACTCTCTGACCTCCGCTTCTGTGGTCACGTCACTTTCTTTGTCTTTATCTTCCTGCCCCCCTTGTAAGGACACACATGATTACATTGGGCCCACCTGGATAATCCAGGCTCATCTCCACATCTTAGGGTCCTGAACTTAATCCCATCTACAGACTCCCTTTTGCCACGTAAGGTAACGTATGTACAGGGTCTGGGGATTAGGACATAAACTTCCCTGGAGGCCGTTAGGTAGCTGACCACACTGCCTGTGTTCCAGCCTTACGGTGGTGCTTTGATTGCCATCATACTTGCTTTCTTTTCTTTAAGAACATTTTGGCTAGTCTGTTTCATGTTCTTTTACCATCCACCCCAGGTCACGTTCCTTTGGATAGCTTGGCGAT